CGAGTCTTCGCGCGAAGAACTCACTCGCCCTTCCGCCTTCCGTTTGACGCACCACTCTACCCCCCCTCCCCCTCCCCCGTACACGAGACACACTACCACTGCGCGCTCTGTTCTTCTCTTCCTACTTCACCGAGACCTTGTACACTTCTTTTTTCTTTCTTTCTTTTATTATACTACACTTATCTATTTCTTCTTTCTCACTTTCTGTTAATTGTTTTTCTTTTTTCTTTTCTATCTTTCGAATTAACTGACACACGAACTAAACAAGTCCTTCTCCTTAAGACCAATTCCACTAATATCGATTATCAATGACGATTTCGTTACGATCCGATGATCCACATGACGTAACGCGATCTCGATCGACTCGAGATCGATTTAGTGAAATGAAAATATGTTAAATTTGAGAAGGAACGATCCAGTATCAGTAATAACAACAGATCGAGTAGAAAAATAAAATGAATCGATTTGATGATCGATTTGTACGCACCACCACTCTCTCTCTCTTCTCGGCGATAATTAGGCGAGAGCGTGCGTGTGTGCGTGCATGCGTGCGCGCGCACACGCGGCCCTTTAAACGATGCCACGACTAGCGTCGTAATTTTCTGTCGTATGGACGACGTAACGGAAGATACCCTCGTCCTCGCCGTCTCTCTGATTAATATTATTATTATTATTGTTGTTGTTGTTGTTCTTTTTCTTATTGTTGTTGTTATTATTATGATTACTGATGGTAATGGTGATGGTGTTGGTAGTGATGGTGGTGGTGGTGGTGGTGGTGCTGCTGCTGCTGCTGTTGCTTTCGCTGTCAGTGCTCCTCGTCGTCACGCCGTCCTCATGTTCACACCGGCACCTCGCGATCGATTTCACGTCGATGTACTTTCGCTCGCACCTAACCAACGACGGCATAATACGTGGAAGCAACACACTACACTCTCTTCGCTCGTCCAAAGTACGCGGCTTTAAACTCCGGCAAAAATGATTATGGAAAATTAACAAAATAATATTATATACATATACATATCTATCTATGTATACATATATAGATATTATGTATGTATGTATATACGTGATGCCGGTAACCGGTTGGAAAATAATACAGAAGAACAGCACACAACACAACAACAACAACAACCAACTCGTACGATGTTGTTGATAAAAATCGTTAACGATAAAGAAAAATGGAAAGATTAATCGTAGTAACAGTAGTAATAATGCTAGTAAACAACAATAATTAACTGTGACGCAAGAGTATAGAACAACGACACTAAAAAAAAAACAATTACGACGACGATACCAAGAACCGATGATGATGAAGATGATGATGGTGGTGGTGATGGTTGATCGGTATTATCTCGATACGATATGGTTTTTATTCACGCGATGTCTACTAACATATGACGCACAGCTGAGCGGCCGGGAAGGACTGAGGACAGACAGAGCCGTACGGCTTTCACTGCGCCGGCCGGCCGGCCACCCGTCTGCCTTCCCCTTCCCTCTCCCCCGAAGGAAAAACAGCTGATAGATAACAACAAAGGCACGTGACCGTTCGACTCAACGCCATTGGCCAACCGCTCTGACCTACTTACTCCGATTGGCCGAGCGAAGCGAGTAAGAATCGGGGAAAGGCTGGAACGCGAGCGCCTACCTCCCTCGCTCCTTCACTCGCACTATTTTCCTCTCTCACTCGCTGACTGAGACCCTCCGAGCTCCGTACCTCCTCCCCGCTAATGGAAACCCCTTCCCGGCCTACCCTACCTCTCCTCTTCCATCTCCCTTCTCCTCGCCATTTCGTATCCCTACTCCACACCCTCCTTTCATCCTTGTCAATCTATCTGTCTCTCTCATACTTTCGTACTCTTACTAAGCTCAACGTATTAACCCAACGAGACAAAACTTTCGAAAATCAACATCTTCAGAATTACAATCTAATAGATTTCATTTTTCTTCTTACTATTGACAATATTATTTCGAAAAAGATTCATATTTCAATGTACTTTTTTTAATATTCGATATTTAACATGTGAAGGTTTTCTCGATCAGCTGTTGCCATCGCGTTCGCGAGGCGGCGCATCAGCTGTGTGGACGCCGGTGACGAAACGAGGACGGCTTGTTTAAAGAGGAAAAGAGAGAAAGAGAAAATGAGAGAATGAAACGACACGCGCGCCATTCGAGTAAAGAAAAAGAGAGATGCTCTTAACCGACCGTCGCCCAAAGAGATGCTTATTATCGACGCTTTCGAACTGATACCACCAAATCTTGTTTTCTCTTTTCCTCTCTCTCCCTCTCTTTCTGTCTATCTATCTATTGAAATCAATGATGATTTTTTTTTCGATGACAACGACAAAGATCTTTTATTTATTTCCTTTCCTTTTCCCTTTCCCTTTCCTTCCACCTTCCGTCTTCCCACGTCCATTGTTTCGTTGCGTTAACTTTGTGTCCGTGATAATGCGTCACGTTTAGATCGTGTTGCGTATTTATTTATCGAGGAACGCAGAAACGCGCGCGCCACACTCGACGGAGACCGACACTAGCGCCGCCCCCTACGAACTATCCCGGGGAGTCCCCCACCGTCGCTAAACGCGTCCTACGCCATACCGTTGATCATTGCTTTCGTCATCCCTCTTTTCTCTTTTTATTTCTCTCCTTCTTTTTACTCGTTCTCTTTCTTTCTATTATTCCTCATGCGACGTTCAACGTGGGCGACTGAAATCGAAACGCTTTTCGCGATGACGATCGCCTGGTGTGACGAAATCGCGCGAAAATGTGCTTTAAATCAAATGAACGATGAAATTAGAGGGAGTATGTACGACCGATAGAATGTCTATCTATCTATTCTCTATCTCTTCAATTGCAAGTTTACATTGATGTAAAGATACAAACAAATACGCGTATACATTATTATGATGGTCTATCTTTTAATGGAATTTGAACGAATACATTTCTTAGATCAATTCTAAAAAAAAACAAACAAATCATCTTTAAATTTTAGTTTACTCAATGTATCGTTAATATACTATTTGGGTTCCAAAAAAAGAAAATACTTTCTCTACTTTAAAATAACAGAGATTTAAAATGATTTGAAGATGATTTCTCTTAATTTTTTATTTATTTATTTATTTCGAATTGAACTATGGGATGCATTCGTTAGATAAAATTAATTCATATAATCAAAATGACAGAAGGATTGAAAACAAAACAAAAATAAAACTCGATGAACTATTAAAAACATTATTATTAATGTCATTCGTTTAATTGTTTTATAATAACAAGTAACAACATAAATGTTTAAATTATGATCTAATCATAAGCCTTTGAAATCGATCAATTTCTTTATTCTTTCCAAAAGACCTTTCTTTTCGATGTATTCTCGAAAGTTCAGAACTTCGTGCAAATGACGAGTATTCTCGTCATATTCACGACAAATGATCTTCCTAGAAACTTCCTTCAAATTAAATGACACTACCCTCCTTCACTACACCCCTTCCTCTTTTTCACACTTTCTCTTTCTTTCTATTTCTTTTTATTTATCTTACATCGTAAAAAATCTTGTTTAAATTACAGTTTTAAATAGAGACAAAGGAAACCGAGAAAGTGATCAAAGTTAAAATATATTTTGGAATTTGAACTGTGTTCAATAATAAACAAAAGAAAAACTTAAGAGGTTTCTTTATAATCTAACAAATATTGTACGTGTATACATGAATACTTTCGTGTGCTCGCACATATATGTATATACATACATATATATATCTTTACAATACATTTCTATGTGTATGTATTTATTTATGTATAAATACAAAATTTGGGAGAGGCTTAATTAATCTTAAACATATCGGACATATTACATATCTAAATACATATACAGTATATCAATAGATGTGTGTATATGTGTACGTATAATATATATGTAACCGAAGAGATAAGATTACGTTTCTATCGCGAGTGTTCCTCTTCTCGTATATGCCACCTCTATTAATCCCTTCTCTTTCGTTCTATCGCGCTACAAATCGTGTCGAGCCGTAATAATGAGACAACAAAGTATCTTCTTACGCTTCTCTATTCCGTGAAACTCGATATGACTTGCCGGATAATCGCAAGTTCGCGTTTTTTCGCGATACTTGGCTTAATAATCATTATCCTTTTCTCTTTCGTTCTTGCTGATTATTCTTGTTCGGTTCTCTGTGATTGTGACAACTGGTACGGTTTGAAACGTGCCAGGTGTGTTGGACAACGTATTTACAGTATTCATACCGGTGCACCTAATTTTATCCAAGCTTTAGATCTATCGAACAATTCGATATCTTCTTTGGGAAATAATGAACTTGCAGTAAGTATAAGAAAGATACATTTTTTATATGATATTCGCGCAATGATGATAAGGTTATCTTGTATTAAAACTATGAAACATCCTGATTGTTTTATAATTCTACTGACTTGTTTTTCCTATTACGTATTTTTACGTATTATTTTTTAGGATGCAGGTTTGACAAATTTGAAATATTTAAATTTGTCATTAAATGCAATCAGTGATATTAGTTTGGAAGCTTTCTCTAGGATCACCAAACTGACTGTATTGGATCTTTCAAGAAATCATCTTTATCATCTTTTACCAGATATCTTTCTTGAGAACAAGAATCTACGTGTATTAAAGTTATCCAGGAACAATTTTAACACACACGTACCAAAATTGCAATGTCCATGGTTAACGGTAAATACTCTGTTGTGTAAATCTTCGGACACATATAACATAAAATTCCCGACGAATGAATCATATTTGTATAAATTCATTATAATCTATGGGTAATTGTTTATTTAGGAATTGGATGTGCACTCGTGTCAAATCAGTCACATACCTTTGGACACGTTCGTTGGACTGACTCATCTTCGATACCTCGATCTTACAAACAACTTGATGATTCAGCTAGATAACGCTGTCCTTGAGCCCTTGCAATTCTTAAGGAAACTATCGTTGGAAGGGTACGTTGACATCTTCAACCTATTTTATATGTATGTTCATTGTATGTAATATTCCATTAGTTCTAACTGTCAACTAAATTAGCTCAACGACTTTAGTCCGAAATAAACGGGAATGAACTTTTATAAGGTAATAAAAGATCGCCAATTATCATTGAAAGAATCTCTCGTTGCTTTATCCTAACCATTGTATGCATTGCGATCTACCTTACCGACTGAAACGATAACGTAACCTTAACAATAACATACATATCTAATTTTTCTTAGAAATCCATGGTCTTGCAATGGAATAATATACGAACTGGAAAATAATCTACGTTCGAGGCACGTGGAATATGACCCAATTTGCAATAAAACAACAACGCTAGGGCCAAAGAAATTTGAGAAGATGATATTGAAGCCATTGATAGATTCGAAAATTCGCACGCATTCTTCGAAGGATTATGTGAGATTTGAGGAAAGTCCGAAATGTAATAACGACATTCAAAATTCGTCTAATACTTCAACAATTAACGATTTACAAATGACTTATAAAAAATACTCCTCCATGACGCCATATTGGTTTTTAATTATGGGATTTTTACTTGGCTGTGCTACCGGAATTTTAATATGTTATTTGTATTCGTTAAAAAAATTCATATATTGCTGTCGCGATAACAATTATCGTGCTCATACGACATACGACGATTCTCAAAGACTTTTTTTACTTCATAATCAATGGCACGTAGCAGCAGCAACAGGGCCTACGCTCAATTCAAGTCAAACAATATCCTGTCCAGGTACTCCACCGCCACCGTATCGTGACGTTATGTTACGACCGGGACTTTATAGAGCCGCAACTCCAATTTAAATAACAATACTACCGGATACGGTACGTGATCAAAGTAACGTTAGAGAAATAAATACAAAAAAAAAGGGACTCCTTTATATTACGCACACCATCGTATAATAATAATAATAATTCATGTCAATTAATAAATCGATTTATCGTGCTTTCATCATGGCAGTATATTACACGGGCAGATTGACAAGTTTTGAATTCCGACAAAAATAACACATTTATTATTTTTAAATGACAATTGACCGGAAAATAACTTCTTTCCATGTTAGATTCAAAATTTGTCAATCCATTTACATATGTTTTTCTATTTCGTGCATATTTTAGAACAAAACAATTCTAATAATACGAATAATCAAAATTTGATAAAAAAAAAAAAAAAAAAAAAACCAATAAAAAGACAGACGAAATACAACAAAATAATTCCAAAAAAAAAAAAAAAAAACGAAGTAAAAATGTAACAAATTGAAGAGATAACACATTCGAGATAATTACAAGTATTAAAATCTAGTCCCCTAAGGTTATAGTTTGTTATTATATATTAGGATATATTATTGTAATAATTATTTATTTAATATTTTATTTCTAAAAATATTATGATATAAACAATATATATATATACACAGGAAAATGCATTTAAATCGAACCATTTAAATTTATTCATTATTTATGGTTTTATGGACAAAGTTTTACAAATAAATTTATTCTATTTAAAGTAGCGCAATTAATGATAAAATTGTTTTTTCTTTTTTTTTTTTTAACCAAGATTTTGAAATAATCATTAATTCAAATTGTTATTAAAACTTTTAACACACGTGGTTTAATATTTATTTATTTATTTTATTTTTATTTTTTTTTTTTAATAAAGAATTCATTAAAAAAGATTGTGCTTTAAAAAAAAAGTAATAATCGTCAGGAATCCTCTTGAAAAAATAACCTTGAGGATTTGTTTTATACAATTATAAATAAGAAAATAATTATTAAATATTATTATTATTAATTGACATGAAGAACTCGAAAGTTTATTGCCACAAATACCAAATCTCGCCATTGTTCCCGTCCCTGAACGCAACCCTATCCATTTGCGGTCTTCCTATCCTATTTCTTAAAGATCCCTTCTAACATTGTCCTCCCATCTATGTCTCAGTCTACCTAGTGGTCTTTTCCCATTCGGTATACCGATCAGTATTTTATACACCATTCGATCCTCCCCCATGCACCACGCCACGTGACCATCCCATCTTAATCGACGTGATTTTACGATTTAGTCCGGTTGATTGTAAAAATAGGAAAATAATTAGATGAATAAATTGAAATGGCTCACCTTGTACATATATCTAATATATAAAAACGATTAAATATATCTATATATACACACACACGATATCAGAATTGTATAATATTTTAAAAAGAAGAATTATATATATATACACACTATAAAGAGGACAACAAAAAACAAACAAACAACCTAAAGATAAAAATAACATAAAATATAAAATCAAAATGAGAATACAGTATTATTAAAATACAAGTGTGATGTGAAAATCTTTGGTAAAATGTGATATCATTGAAAAAAAAAATGTGATGTTATCTCAACTCGAAAATTGTGTTCCTTCGTTAGTCCCTTCTTCTTCTTCTTCTTCATTCTAATGAATCTTATCGATGTTGCTGTTTTGTAGAATTGTCGGAAGAAATAACGATCGATCATTGCGTCCCACCAACCATATTAGTCTTCTTTTTATTCTGAGACATACTCTCAGCATAATTTTTGCAACTGATCAATGCAATTATGTTATCCATAACATCGCTATCGTATTTCATACCACGAAGATTGTTGAGGAGGTTAGTGTTTTGATTATAATCAGACGATGCCAAATTTGCCGGTAAACTCATTCTTATTTCCTCGACAATACCTTTTTGTATTTCTAATGTTAAATCGAGCCGATAAAGATTACCATTTGGTGCTGGTACATCAAATGTTTTCGTAACTGTAAAATCTGGAGTTCTACCATACGTCCATTCCCACGAACTGAATTGTTCCCTCAATTTATCGATACCTATGGTATAATCATTTATTATTATTATTATAATATTAAAATTATTGTTTGATTTTACAATGACATTTGATTCATTCAACATCTAGCTACCTGGGTACCAATCCTCAGTGGGATTAATCATTTGAAAACCTTTTTGTTCTTGTATATGATCAGAGCCGCCATCTTCGAGAACAAGCGGCTTTGTACGCAGATATTCCCAACCTACGGCATTAACCAGCTTGTCTATTGTAATCTCGGAATTAACTTCCGTTAGATTTTTTATTGGCGAACGCAAAGACGTTGTAGCATTTGTTTTAATTCCAGTCTGTAAAATTGATCAAACATTTATTAATAATTTCATTTTCTTTTGTTTTAAATATGTACACAAGAAAAAAGTGAAATATGTATTTGTTTACCTCTTTCTTCTGAAGACTCAAACTCAACAAAGTTTTATTAGCAGCTACTAAAAGTGTACAATGGTGGTAAGCATTAGGTCGTCCTAATTTGGCTGCTGTACCAGATACCTAAAATATTATACAGTACAAGGCTTTGTATAAAATAATAAAAAAATAACATTTCGATTATCTTTAAAGACGTTTTAAAATAACCGCCATTTTTATTTGACTATAACAATTATCTATATATATATATATATATATATATAATATTATTACTTAAAAAAAGAAGGAAGCAATAAAAAAAATCTAAAAACATGTTTACAATATACAGATATAATGACGTCACAAATACAAAATACAATATTTTATAAACGTCTACGTTAAGATAATGTAGAATTCGAAATATTATGTGAAATATGTTACATCAAAAGTAATATACCTTATATTGTCCTTCAACAACAATATCATCACGTTCGTTAACAACAGCTTTTAATCCCCACTCTCGATATAATGCTCTAGTGATAATATCCAAATTATATCTTCTATTATATCTTTGTTTCGGTGTGAAAAAGGAAAGATTGAGATTGCCATTGTCGTGATAAACAGTACCACCACCACTATTACGACGAACCAATGGTATATTATGTTTCTCCGTGATACCAGTATTACACTCAAGCCAAGGATTTTGATGACGGCCAATTACCATGCATGGATCGTTACGCCACAATAACAATATATGATGATTCGTGAAGTCGAAATTACGATAAAGCCAATCTTCTAATGCTAGATTGGTGAACACATCAGTGGATTGGGATATGAATACTGACTTCCTGATAGTATCGTTATTTGAACCGTTCTGTCCATGGTTTACATTGAAACTCGATGAGACCCATTTTATTTGGAATTTCGTTCGTTCGAAATTATTCCAACGTGAACAGAGAACACCTTTGCCGAGAATTATTCTACCACACTTGTTAATCAAAGACATTTTGTCTCACTTCCACTCTTGTATGTGTTCACCCAGGTGACTTTTATTTGTCAATTTATCGACGGTCGGTAAGTGTCGGTAATTGGAATCTTTCTTTTTTTGTTTTTCTTTTCTTATTTTTATTTCTCTCTCTCTCTCTTTCTCTCTGTTACGTTGGTAAGACAGAACACTGTTGATGGTTATTCAATTTTTCTTCTTTAAGATGAATTATACATCATTAATTTATAATAAAAATGTCAGTCTTATAATTAAACTAAACACGAACGTCAAGGTTTCTTTTTTATATATATTCTTCTTATTCTTCTTGTAATATTATATTACTACCCTCGTAATTCGAGTTTAGAGATTAAACAACAGCCTTGTAAAAGATGTATTGATTTTTTGTTTGTTTGTTTGTTTGTTTGTTTGTAAAAAATAAAGTAACAATTATCTCTTTGTCTCTCTTTTACTCTAATGAGTTGTATGTGTCAATGTAACGTCGGATTGGCTCGCCGTAATGGAGATTAAATAGTCGTGAAGAGCAATGGTTTGATGTAACCACTTCCACGTTTGATCCAGGCTGTTGATGCGGTACCGGATACCCAGACAATCTCGACAATCCTTTTGCATTCCTCCGTGTGCTGACAGTTTGAAAGAATTAAATTTCAATAGCTCAAAAAGAAGATAAATGTGAACACAGTTGCACGGTGTTTCACGCCTAAAAATTTGAATTTGTTCGAAACAAAAACAAAAAAAAATAGAAAGAAAGAAAAGGACTAAAAGAAACGATTACAGTCACTTCACAAAATTACCAAAAAAATATATACGCGTGTATATAGACAAAAGTGAATTTCCAATCGTAGAGATTTGAAGTTTCACGTGAATTTAACAGAAAAGGAAAAAAGTTCGAACCGATGCACTTGATGGCTTCCAAACGAATAACAGTAGATCGTTCAACTTTTGGCCTTATATAGAGTTGCATACTCTCCCTAGAGAACGATGAAAAAGTATAAAGGGAGGAAAAGAGAAAGGAAACGGGTCTTTTACCACACGCAGTTTATCTAAGTTCGAAGCACAAAGTTCGGCTGACCCCTACGCATGATTCTATCGACTCGACGTCGATTTTTTTTTTTTTTTTTGATTTTCTTTTCAACCCCACCTAAATCTATCCCACCAATGAACTATTCATGCGTTCAGGGTTGCAGTTACTAATTATAAATATTGAAACTATGAACACATAATATATGAATGATAAGGATTAAGAAATGAAACGCTTATAGAGATCGAAATTTTGAAATTTCAATTATAACACAAAGTGATCTTTCATGATCGCGTGAGCTCAGCTTTTGAGATTAATTTTATCATTTTTTTTTTTGTTTTTTCTTCTTGTCCATTTTTCTTTATTAAATTGATAATGGAAAATTTAATAATTACTTCACGAAGTGTTAATATATATATATAGATATTATTGTATTACTTACGAAATAGAAATGGCTGTCTTTCTTTACGTTTCTCTTCTTTAACTGTACAAACGAAAAATTATTAATATTCAATTTAAAATTATTAATATTTCATTAAAAAGTCATTTTTAAAATAAGGCTATAATAAAAAAAAAAAAAAATATTGAGACGTGATTTATGGTAATACGTTATTCGGCATTTTCCTATCATCAAATTGAAAAACACGGTACTAAAAGAAACAGAAAATGTTTCTAAACGATAATACACGAAGAAAAATACGAACAAAAATATATTAATACGTATAATAATAATAATAATAAATATTCGTAAACAAATTGATTTTATTTATATAGCGTGTTCGTATTATCTCGAAATATCTGCGTATTTTGGTACAAAAACACATCCATAAATTTGTTAATTGGAAATTACCGAGATTAATTTAAAAAATATATGTATACACACATACACACATACAAATTCTACACGAGTATTTTTATGAAACACTTGTACTGTCGTGTTACATTTTGTTGTTGTTGGTACAAATGCATTTAAAATAAATACGTATTTTAAATCAAACTAATTATATTGAAATTGATCAAAGTTAATAACGAACTTTGAAAAGTTCATCGTTCACGTTCATCATCGTCAATATGTATGCCGTTTAAATATTAAATGTATAACATATTTACAATCTTATCGAAAATGAGACGATCTCTCATATATATATATATATATAAATAATTTTATTTTTATAAAAAAACAACAGCTAACTTTTTCAATAATTATCAGATAGAATGAAGAAAAAAGTAAATATAAGTAACAGACAAAAATGTATGTTCCAGATTCGTGTTTTAAGATATCAAAGTTCACACATTGTACTAATTTCTATTAATGTTATTTATATGTATTATAAAAGTTTATAATAAAAAATATCGTATCTTCTTATATGAAATTGAAAGAGAGAGTGAGAGAGAGAGAGAGAGAGAGAGAAAGTTTCTTCTTAGATAGACACGTAAGACATTAGATTGGTCATACAAATGTCAACCTTATTTTTTAAATCTTAATATATATAAATTACGTGTCACGTTGTTTGTCCGCAATGGACTCCTAAACTACTGAACCGATTTTAATCAAATTTTGCAAATTATGTGCAGTTTTATTCACCTTGAAAGATAGGATAGTTTATATCTCAATTTATAATCGCAATATTATATATTTATTAACAAAGAGTCATGATTATCTCATGTTAGTTCGATAAGATTCTAAAAGATGGCGGTATAAGATAATTGTGTATCAGACTGATTGTGACTTTTTTACATTTTTTACATAATAAATAAAAACATAACGTTTATAACATAATCAATACGTTAATTAATACATAACACGAGATAGTGCAATGTTAAAAATCTAATTGAGTTTTCACTGACACATTTTCTAGTTCTCTCATCAATAACAATTGGATTTATTCAAATGAATCTGTATTAAATGTCTCATCCTGTATATACAATATTATTCTAATGTTTAACACAAATTTATTTAAATTAATTTGTTTTTTTTTTCAAATCAATATTTGCATATTTTTATAACATCAAAACGAGAAGAACTTCGTTTGTTAAAAAAAAAAATGATAAAAGTGAATGAAGAAGAAGAAGAAGAAGAAGAAAGAAAGAAAAAAAGGGACAAAAAAAATGATCGTCAATTAACTGTATTATAATTTTTGTTGTTTCAAACATATTTATGCATAAGAATCAAATATTGTTCATTTTCTCGTTCATTTTCAAGCTGTCACTTCACATCAATCTTTTTCTCTATCTTTTAACATAAGTTTGACGCATGTTAACGATAACATTATCATAATTTAACGATTACAGACTTATTATAACGATTATACAATACATATGTGTGTGTGTATTCCACGAATTTATTAATGATGTATTTAACGATATTCAGATTTATTTTTGCATTGCAAATTTTATAATAAAAATAAAATGATAATTTTAATGAACAAATTTACTTCTTTTGTTTTTTTTTTTTTCAAATAATGTGAATAAACTATGTTAAAATAATACAGATATTTTGTGATGAATATTCGTCATTAAATAAACATGATAGAGACGTTATGTAATTACGTATAACATATTAATGCGTAATTTATAAATACATATGTATATATATATATATATATATTTGTTTGTTAACAATTTAACGAGTCTAATGATTGACAAAAGAATAAACATCGATAAAAGTCGAATTTTCTTTACTGACTTTATCTAACATGGGAAGATCGTGACCTGTAACTTTAAAAAAATGAACGAAATTATACTCAATCGATAAAGAATTGAAAATAATTAGACACGTGTTTTTTTGTCGGCTTTTTCTCTAATGGGGGCCTTCTTCATGTGAATTCCATATTAAGTTTTATTAAAATACTATAAAATAATTGCAAATAGCAACATTATTTGTCTGAAGTCATGTAAATGCTTGCTATGTTGTAGCATTTGTAAAAATAATATCGTACGAATTTGTTACAAAAAAAAAATAAAATAATAATAATAATAATAATAATAATAAATGTACAGTTTCGTTATAGGGTTAATGGCCATCTCAGATATGACGTTGAAGCTGTGTCGATAGTTTCTATTGGCTGGCTGTCATCCCATAAGAAATCACATTTACGTGTCAATTATTATCACATGGTATTAAGAGGGGGCAATTAAGGTCACTGGATAAAAACGTACATTGTAAATCTCTTTTCTACTTATTCTGGACTCCCCCCTTGAATTCTACCAATTTGTAATACTATTTTTCAATTTATCTACGTATTTGTATATGTGTGTACACATACGCGCGTCTATATATATATATATATTCTTTTATAATTCATTTATCTAATTTGTTTTACACAAATTTTATATTTATAATATTTTTTATATCATTTTAGTATTTTATTTTTTGTAAAAAGAACATTTTTCAAAATGTCTTCCATTCTTTCAATTTCAATCATATCTTATCTAATATTTGCAAATTTGATAAACGATATTGTTTTTGTTCATAACATTACATTTTCATCGTAAGTACCAAGTCGATAATTTTAATTTTATCATTTAGGAGAAAACAAATTTATTGCATTTTTCGTTTAAATTATTCTTTGAAAAATAATTCATTTTATATTTCGATCTTATTGTGTCTGCAATGGCGGATCATAAAACGATGCATTACTTGTTATCAACTGAACGAAAAACTTGTATAAAATTTTCATTAACTTTATACATTCTATAATAATGAATAAAAATATAATATATGTATATATATATATACATGTAAATTAATTGTTACTATTATAATAATCACACAATATCATTTTGTTTACCGACATCAAATAGATTCATTTTGTGATATTACTTTTATTTTTTCACATTAATACCTAATTCACACACACACACACACATACAAATATTCCAATATTTAACCATATTATTATAAATCAATTTGTCATAAAATAATATTTTTAATAGTTAAAACATTTAAACAAAACATTTCTACAACATTTACTACCAACCATTTTATGGTATGATCTGTTTTACCGACCAAGATAATATCTGCTACTAGAAAAAAAAAAGTGAAATAAAAAAACAAATGGAGATTTACATTATAAATATAAATATTAAAAACAATTAAGAAATTGAATAACGAAAAAGCAAAATTAAAAATAAATGGATTGATAAAGCTTAATTAAAAAAAAAATTTTAAAAATAATAATATTCAGTCGGTAGAAAAACGTGCGCAATGGCTGGTGTTGGTTTATCATCATTCTCAGTTGTAAGCTCATTTCAGAGGCAACTTTTTAGGTGCGCCATTGGCATTGATAGAAAGCTTATCAAAAAGACGTTTAATTCTACTCAATTACGTCAAATATACATATCATCATTTTTGAAGATTCCACAAGTAAGAATATTCAAATAAATTCAATAAAAATGTAAACGTGTCGTGTAATTATCTTTATCTCTATCTCCTTACCTCTCTCTCTCTCTCTCTCTCTCTCTCACACACACACACTTTTCCTATCCTTTTCTCACTATTTCTCTCTTTCTCTGTCACACACTATCTCTGTCTTCTTTCTCTTTCTTTATCTATCTCTTTGTATTTGTCGAATATCTTATTCTTGCTCACCTTATTCACTTGATATCGTAAAACGAACTTCTTTATTCCACAATTATTAATTAGGCTTCTTATTATCGAGGATCAAGGAATAAATTAAAAACTACGACAATGTCCAAATTGGAATATCCCGTGACCCGTCGCGACGAAACTGTTGTTGAAAACTATCACGGTATTGAGGTTAGTATATACTTATATTCTCTCTTCAAAGTTTGTTTCTAGGTTATGTCAAGTCAACTTCTTTCTTCTATACTATGACTGACTGACTGACTGATTGATTGGCCGATGTGCTTTGAACTATTATTATCCATCTATTTAAACAATTTTTGTTATTTTCAAGCAGGCTTTTATTTTTTATTATTATCCAAGAATGATTTTTAATCAATTATTTACTTACTTTAATAATTATTATTTTTGAATAATTTGTCTTTTTTTCTGAAAAAAAGAAAGAAATTAAAAAATTAATGAATTTTTATTTGATTCATAATGGAGTAATGAATAGAAAAAATTACCTCAAATATGATTGATAAAATATTTTGTACCTTTTGTATAATTTAATATATGTTATTATGAAATATTGCAATATTTATATACACAAAGTATTTTTTTGTTATGTTTGTATATAACATGATGAATGCAATTGTCCTGGACAGATATCAGATCCATACAGATGGTTGGAAGATCCAAACTCAGAAGAAACAAAAGCATTTATCGATTCTCAAAATGCATTGACCAAACCTTATTTAGCTTCTTGCAAATCACGTCAGGATATTCATGATAGACTTAAACAATTATGGGATTTTCCTAAATACATGTGTCCTGCCAAACATGGAAATAAATATTATTTTTACAAGAATACTGGCTTGCAAAATCAAAGGTTTATATATTTTCCAAATATTATTTCATTTTATATTCATGCATATTATTCTTAGTTGTTGTTGTTTTTTTTTTTTTTTAACTCAACTATTGAACTTTATTCATTTTAGCGTATTATATGTGCAAGATACTTTGGATAGCGAGCCACGAGTATTCCTTGATCCAAATACTCTTTCTGAGGATGGTACAGTTGCAATATCATTTAGCAGATTTAGCGAAGATGGTAGTATTTTTGCATACGGATTGTCCAGTAGTGGCTCAGATTGGAACACGATACATTTTATCAATGCGAATACTGGTATGATGAATATAAATTTAAAAAATGCCTGAGGTATGCTAAAATCTTATTTATCAGATTATTTTTATGATTAATTAGTGTATTCATTAATTTAGGTGAAAAATATCCTGAGGTATTGGAAAGAGTTAAATTTTCTCCATTGACTTGGACTCATGATAACGTTGGCGTCTTTTATGGACATTATCGCGATCAAAAAGGAAAAGTTGATGGTCTGGAAACTCAAGATGATCAGAATCAGAAATTGTGTTATCATCGTGTAGGAACACCACAGTCAGAAGATGTGGTTGTTATAGAATTCCCTGAGGAACCTTTATGGAGGATGTTAGTAACATGGAAAATTCATTTACACATAATTAATTAATATTATTTCTAAACAAAATGTGTTAATATTATTATTTTTTTTTTTTTTTCTATTTCTTCAGAGGCGCACAAGTTTCTGATTGTGGAAAGTGGTTAATTGTTACACCTGTAAAAGATTGTCGTGATAATCTAGTTTACTTCACTGAACTAAAATCTGATTCCAAAATAGATGGTTTATTACCTTTAACACAAGTCGTTGATAAACTTGAAGCTGATTATGAAGTTAGTTAAATAGATTTTTATGTTTAATTATTTAAACATTATTAATATTTTATATATATAATATATAAATTATTTGATTATTAGTACGTAACAAATGTTGGTACCAAAGCTATATTTCGTACAAACAAGAATGCATCAAACTTCAAATTAATAGCAATAGATTTGTTGGATTACAAAGAAGATAAATGGACTGAACTATTACCTGAACATCCTGATAATGTTTTGGATTGGGCTAGCGCAGTAGACGGTGATAAATTTGTTGCCTGTTACATACAAGATGTTAAAGTTAGTGCATTTATATTTATATATTAATTAAATTATTTTATTTTCACATGTATATTTATATAAAAAAAAAATTAATTTATATTTTCAGAATATTTTGCAATTGCATAGTTTAACAACTGGTAAACTTTTGAGAACGTTCCCACTAGACGTTGGTACGATTATTGGTTTCTCTGGTGATAAAAAATATTCCGAAATATTTTATCAATTCACATCCTTTTTAACACCTGGAATCATATACACCGCTGATCTCAAAAACGACGATGAACCAAAAGTTCGTATATTCACGATAATTGAATAAAAAAGTAAAGTAAATATCAATACTCTTTTGTTTCTAGATATTTCGCGAGATCAAAGTTAAGAATTTTGATCCAAGTTTGTATAAAACGTTGCAAGTGTTTTATACCAGTAAGGATGGTACGCAAATTCCTATGTTCATCGTTATGAAAAGCGTAAGTATTTTTTTTAATAACGTGTGATTATCCATGGAATAATTTAAAATATTGCAAAAAATTTAGGATGCTGTATTGGATAATTCTATGCCAGCTTTATTGAATGGATATGGTGGTTTCAATGTTAGTATTCAACCTGTATTTAGCGTAACAAGGCTTGTCTTCGTGCAACATTTAAATGGTGTGCTTGCTATTCCAAATATTCGAGGTGGAGGGTAAGAGGAATACATAATTAACAATGGAGTTAAATATATTATCGTAAACTTATGTTATATACATAAATCATTGTCTCTTGGTTTATAGAGAGTACGGAGAAAAATGGCACAATGGTGGTCGACTATTTAATAAGCAAAATGTATTTGATGATTTTCAATGTGCAGCTGAATATCTTATTGACAATGGATATACTACACCTAGCAAATTAACTATACAAGGTGGTAGTAATGGTGGATTATTGGTAGCTGCTTGTATAAATCAGCGACCAAGTTTATTTGGTGCTGCTATCGCACAAGTCGGGTTAGTTTGATTATATTATTCTTATTAATAAGATAATATTATTAACACGTTGATTGTCTTATCAATCTTACAATCTATATATTAGTTAGTTTAGTTAGGTACCTGTTTTATAACTTTCAGTAGATAAAAGATACAAAAAGATTATACATTACATTCTACACTTATATCATTATTCTCTTATATTTATATATATTGTATATTAAACTTTACAAAATGTTCTGTTATGGCAATTAACGTGATAAAAATAAGTTGATTATATTTTAAATAATAATATGTCTCTCTTTTTTTTTTTTTTAATAAATTCTTTCAGTGTTATGGATATGTTACGCTTTCATAAGTTTACAATTGGTTCCGCTTGGGTTTCCGATTATGGTAGTTCAGAAGATCCGAAGCATTTTGAAAATCTAATTAAATATTCACCATTGCATAATGTTAAAATACCAGAGGACGGTTCTCAGTATCCAGCAACCTTGCTTTTAACAGCCGATCACGATGATCGTGTTGTACCATTGCATAGTCTTAAACTCATAGCAACTTTACAACATGTACTTGGAAATTTACCACAACAAACAAATCCATTACTCGCAAGAATAGAGACGAAGGCTGGTCACGGTGGTGGTAAACCAACCACTAAAGTTGTTAGTAATATTTATTAATTCATTTCTTAATAAGTTGCAATTAGTTGTTAATTAATAATCGTATAAACATTTAATTCTTATATTTTTTCATTAATCTGTTTTTTTCTTTTTTTTTTTTTTTAGATTGAAGAGAACACAGATATTTTATCGTTCATCGTCCAAGCTTTGAATTTAAAATTCAAGCTATAACATATGTAAATGTGTTTATATATTAACTGTTTGTACATCTTTTAAAATTATTATGAAGGGATGGTTCAGGTATTAATATTACTATAATTATTATTATTATTATTATTATTTGTGATATAATATAATATTTGTCCCTGTCGTCGAAAAAAAAAAAAAAAAAGAAAAGAAGAAAATAAAAAATAAAAATGAACTATCATTTTAATTGGTATAAAATGTTTATGAAATATTAAATGCATACTTTGTTTCTTTTTTTTTTTTTACGTACTATTTTGTTTTTGTTCATTTCATTTTATTTTATTTTACTTTTTTTTCTCTATTGTCTTTTTCTATTTGTTGCTAATAAATGATGAAAAAAAAAAAAAAATTTATTTCACTCACACGCATACAAAACACACCACGCGAACAACGCGTTCACTATATCTCACGTGTGTGGAATATTTTATCGTATAGAAAATTTCATAATTATTGATTCAAGTTATGCAACAAATTGTCAGACTACAACAGGTAATTTGAATAATATCTAATGTTCTAAAAATAGTTATTTATACAAAAATAAACAATTTCATTTCTATTTGAGTATATATTTTCTTTTTTTTTCTTTTTTTTTATTTTACCATTTTTTTATGTCAATTTCTTATTTAATAATAATGATTAGTATAATTGATGATTAGTAATGTTTCGCTAAATAAAATCTTTATATCGCGTTAAAAATTAATTTACTGTTTTTTTTTTCTTGCTTTTTGTCATTATCTGCATAACTTAATCCAATTAAAAGTTCAAAAGACAAAAATAGTTGCATGTAAAAAGTATTTGTTTGTTTGTTTGTTTGTGTTTTTTTTTCGTACAACTAAATCGTATTTAAAGTATAAAATGCAATTTATGAATGATCAATGATAATAAAAGTCTGTCTGTATATTATTGATATTTTCTGGTTTGTTTTTTTTGTTTTTTCAGAATTTATCGTTTCTATATTAATCCTCTTCATAAAAAGTGTCATTTTTTCATACATATATAAATGTAATATACAGAGTGGAGTAATAATTCTGTTCACCTTGAATATTTCTTTTATTTACAATCGTATTAAAAAACTTTCAAAGAAAAAAGTTGCACTATCGCAATAGGAGAAAAAAGAAAAAAATCTAATCGTTGAAAAATATTTTCCTCTTTTTACGAAATTTCAAGGTTATCGATGTTTTTTGTTTTTTAAATAGATAAAAATGATTTGCATTCTGATCATTTATCTTCAAAATATTCATATTTCAAATAAATATATATATAACATAAAATATAATAAAATATCAAAATAAAATATTATTTACGTAGGTTGGAACTTAAATAGTGACAATTATTTATTCATAATCGTTACAAAAGAGTTACATGTTTGCACCTGTTACTGTCCTTCAAAGTAGTCACCAGCGTTAGTGTGGAACCCGTTGCTAGCGATGTAGAAGACGTAGTATACCGTCAGCAGAGTCTGTTCTGTTGATGGTGCGAATGGGAGCGGGGTCTACTGCCATGTCTCATCCAGTATTACAATATGGCGTAAGAAAGCCTCTCCTTCGCACTCATATCGCTCCAAGTGCATCTGAGCAGCGTCGTAAAGCATCCATTTCTGCATTTCCGTCAATTCATGCGAAACCCATCGTGGCATTCACTTCAGAACTGTTCCAGATATTCGACATGGCAGTTAGACCACTCCATTCGCACCATCAACAGAACAGGCTCTGAAAACGGGTTCTACACAACGTTGGTGATTACTTTGAAGGACAGTAACAGGTGCAAACATGTAACTCTTTTAATAGTTGTCACTATTTCAGTTCTAACCTACGTATAATGTCCACCTTGAATATCTTTGTTATTTATAATAATATGAAAAAAAAAAAAAATGTTTAGTACCTAACTTGCATGGCATGGAAAGAAGAAGCATATTGCGATTTTGATTTCTTTCTTTTGTATCTCATTTTTTGTTCGTTGTACTTGTTTTAATTTTTTAAATCTTACGTCACATTATGTAAACCTGCCATTTTCGTATCGTTGAATGACGTATAAGTTTCGTTCTAAGTAGATAATATGTCTTATCGTCATAGTAACGCTGAAAGTCACAATTTCGAACATCTTATATAATTTGAGGAAGTTTATTTTATTACTATATATTTGTCCTTGAACAACTTTCATTAATATCTCACATTGAAATCGTCTAAAGCCAACTATCATAAAACGGTAGATAACAATTTACATAAAATAGTCATTCTATTGAGAAAAAAAACGAAGATTACCTTGAAATTTTCTCTAAACCCTACGTCCTATAGAAAAAAGAAATAAACAATATGCCCTTTCTATTGTCATGCAAGTTTTGTAACAGAGATATATTCAAGGTTTATATATACATTATTTTTATACGTAAATATTTCGAAAATAAATGATCGGAATGGAAGATCATTTTTAATCATTTTTACGTTTTGTAAGAAACGAAAAATATTGAGAAAATATATATATATATATATATAGAGTATCATTTACAAAAAAATAACATCGATAACCTTGAAATTTAGGCTATGGGTATGTTTACCGCAGCGGTACCATAGAGATATTACAGATAGAATGGACAAACCATAGGCGGTTGTGTAAGTGGAAGTAAATGTCTCTGCATGAATATAGCAGTAAAAAACGAAAGGTTGATGTTGTCTCTCTCTAACTCATGCAGTACACAAAAGACTCGCAAGTTAGAGAGAGACAACATCAACCTCCCCATGTTCTATTATTTCTATTATTTCTTTTTATTTCGCCGACAGGTTTTATGCTGGGCTTGTCTCTGCTCTATGTGTAGTATCTCTCTCTATGAGTAGCGGGTTACTCTTACTGAAAGTGCTGTTGCAACCAACAAAACTGTTCGTTACTCGAAAGACCGATCGTCAATGGCCAAGACTCATTTTTGAGATATTTCGTTTGCTAATATTGACAGTCTTTTTGTTTAAATAGAACAAAATATTAAAATTATACATCCACAGACTGAGATATTTGATGTGCTGTAACTGCATACACTTGTTGTATGTAAAATACGCGACGTCATTTTATGAACAATGACTGTAGTCAGCAAAAGGATTAATACGATTGTAAACAAAAGAGATATTTAAGTTGAATAGAATTATTTTCGCATCACGAATTAGAGAAAAGAATAAATGCAGTAACTTACAATGGCACAACAACAACAACAACAACAACAAACAAATGATCATCAAAAATATTTTCAATGAGAAATTAATTCCATACCAACGGTAAATAGTTCAGTGAAATATTGGCAAAATAATTTGCTCATATATTGTTCCTCTTTTACCGGCCAAAAGCCTTCGAGGAATCCAATATGGCCACCGCGCGAGGTTACCACAATGGCGACGTTTTCAGTTTTAGTAAATTCATTTAATGGAATGGCTAGAAATTAGACGAATTTAAATATTAATATTGTCTGTTTAAAGAATTTCGTTAATTATACTTTGGATCAAAAATAATATTATACTATTATTTATTCGTTCAGTATTAAAATTTAAACAAAATAATTTCAAATATTTTACCTTCTAATGGTTGAAATGGATCGTCTGCTGCATTAAGGCACAATACAGGTACCTCGATTAAATGCAATTTGTCATGTAATGTTGCTTTTTGATAATACTCTTCGACATCTTTAAAACCAAATTGTTTGGCCGTAAAGTTTGAGTCAAATTCTCGCACGGTTTGACTCTGTAAAAATTCAATATATTATTATTATTATTATTATTTCAACATGTTATACCAAAAAAGAGAAATCTTTTTTGTCAAAAATATTCAAATATCTTCTGTCATAAAAAGACCACGCGTTAATTATACATATTAAATATTTACTTACGCGTAAAACGTTATTCATATCAACGTTTTCTAAACCAGTTTCCAATGATGAATAATATTTTTTAACAGTGCGACATAAATTGCTAGCTAAGTGTTTGTTCAGCATTAAATTGATATACTTTTTTTCGATACTTTCCGTCGCGGCGAATACATTCCAAGGTGCCGATATGATAAAACATCCCTTAAATTTATCTTTCGCAGCTGCGCCATTTTGTGCTAGATAATTACCCAATATCAATCTGAAATATAATGCAATTCACAATATGTATGAATATATACAGTAGAATAATTGATAATAATTGATAATAATTTATGACAATTATAAAAGACAAAAGAAGAATGAAACTAATGAGATCACTTAAAAATAATAATAATAATAATAATTGATACAAAAAAAAAAACCAGAATTATCCTTACCCTCCCATAGAAATACCAGTTGCACCGAAAGGAACATTAGGATGTAATTTTTTTAAATGGTCGATTATCTCTGCCAAATCTTCGCAATTAGCGGCACAATATGTACGTGGTGTCTGTTATTAATAATAAATAAATAAAAAAAAAAGAAATAAATAAATAAAAAATAAAATAAAATAAATCAATCAATGTACGATTTTTAACACACATCTTTTTTACACATATATTATATTTTGAAGTACTTAACACTTAGCCGACCCACTCACTCGGGAAGATCTCTTATGTTGACCTTACTTATTTTACTTAAGTTTTATGGAAACCATACTACAGTTCGTTGCAGTGTCGATGATCGGCTAAGTGTTAAGTAGACTACGTATAATATATATGTAAATAAAAGAACTTATCATCTAATCATTTATTTTCAAATGATATATGAGTCATTTGAAAAGTTAGCAATTCATGTCGATACTAAGTCCTAAATATAGTATAACGGGTCGACAAATGAGAACATAGTGTCACGCGATGGTAACTACTCAATAAAGAACAATTTCGTAACATTGTCAGTTAACGTTTAATGAAATTGTATTAAAAAGGGAACTGACAGGAAATATGTTACTCTTGTTTCTTAGTATTAAATTAAAATCATTCTCGAAAAAAGTGATTATCATGGATTTTCCTTATCGATAAATTTATTGCAATCGTAATAAATCATATAAAAAAAAAAAAAAAAAAAAAAAACAGAAAAAATAAAAGATCGAAGTTCGTTCGATAAGATGCGTGTAAGAGATTTTCTGAATTTTTTTCTTTTTTTGTTTTTTTTTTCAAATATTTCGTTTTGTCCCCCTCTTCGCTTTCAAATTTAAAAACACAATTTAATCTCTAACGTTATTAATTTAATAATTATGCATTTGATGCATAGCAAGCTTCATTACAAACATTATTGTTAATTGTTTGTTTTGTAATATTTTCCTGTTTACCTTTAATTTAACACCACCCAATCCTCTGTTATTGAATATAACGCATCTAATACGTGATTTTTTAGCAGCTGATACTAGACATTTGATATATTCTGTGTTACTTGCACCGGTTAAACCCGGTAAAATGATAACTATCGGTGACGTAGTTGGACAGTTCTCCTCAGCCCAATCTAAAGCTACTTCGCCACCATCGGACAATGTGAATATTTCTCTGCGGAATAAAACGTTGATACATATATATCTATATATGATGTAACTGGATCAATTGAGGTTCATTATCTCTTTCAACAATATATCTATCTATCTATCTATCTATCTATCTATTTATATATCTACCTACCAACCTGCGGTAATGTATCACTGGTAATACACGTGACCTAACTATACTTGCGAGTACAGTTTGTGCTCGTGATTCGAAACACCATAGGGTTGGCCAAAATTTGTTTTTCACCAATGGTACGTGATCTTCTAAGAATGAACGAAAAGGTCCTTTTGCACATACCAATAATGGAGTCTTTAAAAAGTATTTACATTTAAATGTTAATATTATTCATTTGGTCAAAAAAAAAAAAAAAAGAAAAAAAGAAACAAACAAAAAATGATTAAAATAAATATTTATGAATGTTTATTATATGTATGTTATTTTTGTAAAAGATTGAAATAAATAAAAGAATGTATTATAAGAAATTAGTTTCTCCAATTCAAAATTCCCGCGTTCGGATATTTTTCAAATCTACAATTCGGCGCGCTGCAACTATTACAACATTTTCAAAGTAATAATATTCATAACGAGTTATTGGAATTAAAGAACAAAAAGTAGTTAAACAAACATACATATTTATAAACTATCTTCTTCACATATGAATATATTTAAATTGAAATGTGCATATACAACAACTTCCGGAAGTATTCGTATCCGTACTGTTCATATCTTCTTGTAATACAATATATTAAAATTTGTATATACAGAAACGTATTTTAAAATTTTAATAATGTTTGAAATTGACATAACTGATAACAAAATTAATCTTATAACCGACTAATCGTGTTAAGCTGTAAATAATGGTATTTTAATTTTTTAAATGGTAATTTTTATGGTATTTTTTAATGATATAATTAATGGTATTTTAATTATATCTTATCTATAGGATACAAATATTTGCGTGTTCTCCAACAATAAAACATTCTAATGCAATAAAATTAAATTAAAAAATAAAAAATAAAAACAAAACGAACCAAATTAAATAATTCTAAAGTAAAATATATATATAAAAGAATTTTTTGAAATTATACATTTAAAAGCGAATACCAATAATTATATTGGTAATTACATTGACACTAGGAATATATATATATACATATATACATATATATGTACCTGATGTTACGTAAAAGGAAACCAGAAAAAAAAGATATAAAGAGAAGCATATTTATACAGAACACATTGTACTTACTTTAACAACTTCGAGAAGGTAATAAAAGCTGAAAACAATTCCGAATAAAGCTCCATAATAAAGCTTTGGAACCGATGATATATTTTCGAACAAATCGAGAATCACCATTGTAAGTTGAATAATAAAACTAGCCGAGGTTCGTCGCGTGTGAATGACAGTCGATTATTAAAAGGAATACAGAACACTACTTAACACCGATAGTTACAGCAATGACAACGACGATGATGGGGATGATGATGATGACAACGACTACCACCACCACAACCACCACCACAACCACCACCACTATCGTTCGAGTTATATTCCAAAGATCCGTTAGATATGAGCGCCAATAACGTATTACAGTTAGCGACCCTAGCGCCATCTTGTTTGACTACAGCGCGTAATTGGACAACGTACATTTTTACCGATTAAAATCGTAATGACTATCATCTTGTTTGAAAAAATCACAAGCACAGAAAAGACATGGTATTATTTTTTTCTTTTTTTTACATCTATTATGTRATAATTAGAACACAATCGTTTTTATGTATAGTACGTTAAGTATAGTAAATTAAATCGAAGGAAGACATTTTGTCTTTTTTTAATCGTTAGGGACCCTGTAGGAGGAACGCGCCATAGAATTTTGGGGGACAGGAATTTATGTAGTCACGTGATTGCGCGCGAATCAATTAAACATTTGAAATAGTATACAAGTTGTATATAGTAATAGTGAATAGTGTAGGGGGTAGTAGAGTAATGAATTGGTTTGAAAAAATTATGAAATAATGAATTGCATGAAATACAGAAAAAGAAATGAATCATATTTAATGATAATGAAAAAATTTATAATTAAAATAGAATAGGTTAGACAAGAAAAATTATTATTAATTCAAAAAGAAAGATTCAATTGAGTTTGATTTGATAAAAAAAGTCATTAGAGTATTTAGAAATTTCAAAACAACTTGTAGGAATTTATACAATTTTGATAAATACAATTATCTATTACTATATATATTATATTTACAATTATTTTAATCATTCGTACAATTTGTTTTTAATTTTCAATATTAATAAATCAGTTAGGATTCCTGGGTATTAAATCTTCATAACTAACCACAACTAAAGATAAACATGGCTGCGCGTTGCATCGGAAGCTGTCCCCCAAAATTTTCAGCCAATAGCAACCCGAGCAACATGTATGGCGCGTCGTCCCTCCTACAGGGTCTCTATTAATCGTTAAATATACGTAACATTGATTTATAAATGATATACGGGCTATGTTTTATGAATTATAAATCACATATGTGTGATAGGTTAAATTCAAATGATTGATCTGTTAGATTTATTAAACAAACTTAAGATAAATTTCATATTTATGACTCGTGTTAACGATATTTTGAAAAACAAAACAAAACAAAACAAAAAAGAAACCAATCATTAAACTTCTGATTACGAGATATTTTTGAATTTTACAAATTGCAATATATAGAAATATATTTTCTTATAAAATTGTGTATGTATAAAAAAAAAATGTGTATAATAATTCTCCGCTGATTGATCGTACGATTAGGTTAATTATTGTTGAACCTATTCGATTGAACTTTGACAAATAGTTCGGAGAAATATTGATACGACATTTTTTTTCATATATATATATACTTTATGTTTTGATTTAAATAGAAAAATAATAAAAAAATATTTGATAATAGGATTTAATCTGGAATGCAATTAATTGACGATGAGAGGAGAAATGAAAATTTGAACGACGAACAATTTACGCGCGACACAGATATAAGTTTTGATTTGAACGTTTAACGTACAAAGTACAACAAGCATTAATCTTTTATCGTCATATAGAGAGATTAACGTGCCTAAGTAATGTAGTTGACCGATTATTAACCGTTTACACGGTCGATTTGATTAAATGACAAAAAATCTTATTCAACTAACACCATGTCACTCTATTAAAGCCGATTAATCGACGAAAACGTTTCACTGCACTCAGTTAGTCAACTCCGTTCATGGGCTAATCAAATAAATGACTAGTATCAAGTGAGCTTGAATCTCTGTGTGTGTGTGTGTGTGTGTATGTATTTTGTACACATATACACATATGTATATGAAACAAGAATTATAAAAGTGGTAGTTTAACAAATTATTGAAATTATTTTGTTTTTCTCCTGTTTTTTTTTTTTAACACTAGATATATCAAATCAATCATATTGACTGTTTCGGCCATTTTAATTCTAAATTTCTACTTCATGCAACATTTGATTTCTGTAAATAATTTTAAACGTTTTGTTACTTCAAAATGTCTATAAATTCGTGTATTTATCTATTAAAATTATTATTGTTTAATATTTTTGGTTATTTTTTAATAGTAAATTAAGACTGGAAGGATCTTGAAAAGTATTTTTTTTGTATACATCAGTCATTTTGACTAGTGTGGTAGAAATAGGTATACTGAAAATGGTGGTATATTTAGTGTTTAAATATCTACTTTGAAATTGTTTACTTTTAATTCTGTTAATTTAACTGTTTTTTCTTTTCTTTTTATACAGAAATAATATTTTTTTTTTTCTCGTTTAGATAAGATTATCTTTTTATCTTTATATTTATATATTTTTCATATTAGTCAAATTATTTTTCTATTAGGCACGGATAAAGTTAACAATGTGAATAAATTAGAAAAATTTTCAAATCTAATAGAAAAACATAAATGTTTTGTTTGAAAATTTAATTTTATTTCAAAAATAAAATAATCAAGTTTTCTCCTTTTTTTTTTTTCTAATGAAGTTCAAGACATTTTAGAATATTTTGAAATTTCAAAATTATTATGTTAATAATTCATTTTTATATATTTTAAAATACTTCAAACATTGACCTAATTATTTTTAAATATTTTCAAATACTTCAAACATTTGTTCCTAATCATTGTTATACATTATTGTGCAAAGTTTATACATGCAATCACTAATAATTTCTTATCACGTAATAAAATATAATTATAATTTTAAAATTGTTAACGTCAAAAGAAAACAAAAAATATATAAATATTTTATGCTTATTTCTTCATTATTTATATTCACTTTTTCAAGAATATAATTATTTCCTTTGTAGATATGAAATGTTAAAATCTAGTCAAGGACAAAAATGAACGATAAAAATAAATTAAAAAGAAACAAAAAAAAAAAAAAGAAAAAATGATATTTTTACTATTTTTTTTTTTTTTGTTACATATCATTTCAATGACGACTTTTAACACTACGATTAGATATCAAATGAGCAATTTATATTTTGTCACGACATCCTCTTCACAGATTAATCTTTTGATTTTAATTTTATATTCTCACGTATCGATTTATCATTTTCTTATCATTTCTATTCTAAAGAATAGCAATTTTAAATAGAAAAACTCTATCGATCGTTGAAATATTATAATATTTTTTATTTTTTTTTTTTTTCTGTAAGAAAAAAATGGATGAAGCATTCATTGAAATATATAATAAATGTAAATAATATATTTTTTAATTTGTTTCGTTTTGTTATGTTTTGTTTATAACTTATTTGTTGAAAAATAGAATGATAACGGCATAAAGAAGACACGATTTTTCTTTCGTTTTTTTTTTTTTTTTTTAATATTTTTTTTTTATCCAAATTTTTTTTTTTACATTACATTCGATCGTTCAAACGATTTTTCGTGTATTTCTTTTTTATTTTTTGGTTTTCTTTTGAAATACGAACAAAAGTTGGAGGCAATGAATTTTTTTCTTTTGTTTACATTTTTAAATAATTATTATTATTATTTTACTTTTATTTTTATTTGAATAATATTTTTTTTTTTTTTTTCATATAAAGCTAAAGATGATGAAAGTACGTGGAAAATTTTACATAACGAAAGAAATTTTCTATAACTCTTGAAGTTTACAAAAAACTTTGAACTTTCATCTTCTCGTAATAGCAAGAAAACAAAAACAAAAATTATACAGTCTTTTAAAATTATTTTTCCTTATTTTCTTTTTTCTTTTTTCTTTTTTTTTTATTATTTTCTACTTCCTTTCGCAAAAATATAACGACAAACATATTTACACGAGTTATTTTGTATTCTTTTATTAATCAATCGATCGATGATCGATGATATTATTCTTCATTTATGCAGCCATTTTGTTTGAAATATATATATATATATTATTTTTCATCTTTTCTTTTATCTTTCATATACTTTAATTTATATTTTGTATTTTCCTTCATATATATTATTATTAGTTTTCTTTTTTTTTGCAAATAATTTTAATTTACAGATCAAGATGTCTTATGGAAGACTCAATTTAATCAAAATTTGATGATTTTATAACTTTAAATATAATTTTATATAAATTTAATGATATACAATTATTGAGAGAACACATTTGTTCTCTTTTGTTTCTCGAATCGAACGAGTTAATTTACATGTTCTATTTTTTAATATGTTTATTTTTTTTTTTTTTTTTTTATAGAAACAAAAAAAAACAATTTCATATGATATTATATATGTACACACGTATTTAACAAAACACACACAAACCTTGGGAAAATTTGGAAAAAGACAACAAAATATTATACATCAGTACAATTTACAAAACATTTCTTATCTATGATCTCTCTCTCTCTCTCTCTCTCTCTCTCTCTCTCTCTCTCATTCTCTCAGATACAATCTGTTAGATTTTATTTTACAATCGATAATATTCTAATAAGAAATAAATCATCAATTCATCTAAACGCGATAACTCCTCCTCTTATTATACTTCTTTAGGACAAATTTATGAAATAATCAATAATTTGTTTCAATCGATTTACACATCAGATAAGATTAAACGTTTGTAATTTTCTTTATACTATCGACTTGGCATACAATCGATACAATGGCATACATCATACAATCGTTATTAATTTCTTGGAATTTTATGTTACTCTCATTTTTAATTTATTCTCCATAATTTCAATTGGCAGTAGTAATAACAACGAATTATGATGATCGATTTTTTCTCGAGAAGAAAAACAAAGGTTTGTTATTGTAAATCAATTATTATACAATATTGTGTGATTTGTGAGAAAAGCATGCCTGCTGCGTTTCGTCATGGCTGCTTGATGAACGTTTGCGTCCCGTGTTTTTTACCGGTAAGGTTCCCCCACGTAACACGAAAGCTTTTCTTTCAAATCTTTCAGTAAAAGTTTCGTTAAATATTTCCTAAAAAATATCTTTCAGAAACCTTCTGAATCTTTTCATCAAATATTTAACTGATAGAGTAAAATCTTTTGCAAAAGTCTTTGAAATGCGGACATTTTTATCTTGTAGAAAGATTTTTTTTTTTAGAAACCTTTTCAAAGAAATGTTTTAGAAAGTTTGTATGTTATGTGGGGGGACCTGCTTCGCAAATCACCCCGATGATTTTGGGATGGTGTAGGACTGAGATCACCCTCCTACCCTGGAGATCTTTTGATCAAGAAACGTAACTTAGGCAATTATATTATAAGCTGAGTGTAACCGGTTGCGAGGTATGGTCTTTCAAGACCGTAAGTCAAAAATTGATTGATTGATTGATTTATTTATTATGAGATTCGTAGAATATGTTTGGGAAAGAAAACGAAAAGAAAAATAAAACAAATACACAGAAATAAAAAGGAAAAAATGATAAATCGTTAATTTCTGCCATGAGTTACATAATTCGAAGACTTTTCGATCAAATATGGCATACACGATATATATTACAGATAATGTATAAATAAACAACGAATTAGAAACTTATGGTTTAACTTAATTATATAGATGCTATTCTAAACATAGAATCAGAATGAATATCTGAATAATATATTTATATTTCGCTTGATTGATCTTTGAGGCACCTATGTATTTATAAATAAATTGATCATACTAGAACGAAATATTTAGTCTCTAATGTTTGCTCGTAACGATTCGATTTTTTTTTTCAAGACAACAAAAAACAAAACAAAACAAAAGGAAAATAAACAGAAGAAATAATAATAAAATTTAAAAAAAAATTAAAAAAGAAAGGAAAAGAAAAGAATAAAAATATTATCTACATATAAATGTAATACGATTAGGACAAACATCCGTATATAAAAGAAAAAAAAAAACAAAAAAATATGAAACACGTTTATAATTCGAGCTTATGTTTGGGAATTAATGGGTTTAATATTGGATGTTGTCCTGTTTTCTTCGGATATCATAAACGACGTGTACAATTCGATTCGCGAATGAATTTTGCCCATGTGCGATTAGGTGTTAGATCACCTTTACGTACGAACGGTCTACTTTGATCCATGACGGTTCTATAAGTCTTGTCGTCATAAGTGCAAGTTAAACTCTTACGAAGTTTCTCACCACCCGTTTCAAAGTTGGCAGGTTGACTACCAATTAAGACGTGAAGATCGTTCTTTACTTTTTCAGCCCAATCCCACATTTCTACCACCGAACAATTGCAAACGAATGGATTACCTAATAAATTAACCGACAAGAGATTCGGATTTGATTTGAAGATTTTATAATTGATCGATTGTAAATTGTTATTGCTGAGATCCAAGTGTTCCAATGATCTTAATAATTTCAAACTAGACAAATCTTTCGTCTCTGATATTTTGTTATTAGATAAATTCAATCGCGTGATATTTCTTGTTTTGGAGAATACGTTCTCGTGTAAATGTGAAAGGCCACAGTCGCTTATGTCAAGAATTTCAAGATTGGATAGTTGCGTTGGTAAAAGGGCATCATCTTCGGTGACGCTAAGTGGATTACCACTGAGCTTCAACTCGATCACGTTCGTTATGTTGCGATCACCAAAAACCCTTAGATCGATCGGGTTGCGAAGATCGCAATTATTCATCTCCAAACTTTCTAATCTCGTTAAATTGGCGAATAAACCTTCCTCCAAAGTGTGAAGCGTGTTTCCTGATAGTATCAGTTTCTTAAGAGAAGTCATTTGAGCGAATGTATTATTTCCAACATGGCCTAAGTCGCAATAAGACATATCCAAAAATTCTAAGGAACTTAATGGACTTAACAAAGAAACGAAAGCATCCGATAGTGGATTATGTGAGATATCGAGTTCTTCGAGATTTTCAAAAACCTCGAATGCGGTCGGTAATTTACGCAAGTGACAATGACTTAGAGAAAGTTTGTGAAGCTTAGGCAAGTGGCGTAAGACTACAGTCAGATCAGCAGCCAACATTGGATTGCCGCTAAGATTTAATACTCGCAATTTACTAGCGTTTATAAAGGCTTCTTCGGATAAGCGATCCTGAAGATGACAATTGGACAAATCCAACGATTGCAAGTTATGCAGGTTATGACCAAGAGTATTGCCAACGTCCAAATGTTGAAGTTCGTTGTCAGCTAATACCAATTGTCGAAGATACAAATTTTTAGCGAAAGCATCTCTCGGCAAATAATTAATCGATGTTTTTCTTATATTGAGATTCTCCAAACGAATGAGAGGTGCTAAAACATTCGTCCAACTCAATTCTTTCAAATCGTTCTCCTGCATCTCGAGTTCTCGCAAATTTTCCAAATGCGCAAACGTATCGGGAGACAGGTGAGTCAAGTTGCAGCCGTTCAACTGTAGATACTCGAGATTGGTCAAGTGGTCGAACGGTCCAGGTTCTATCCTTTGTAGGGGATTGTAAGACAAGTCGAGTTTGTTCAGATTCGTTGTGTTATGAAAAAATCGTGTATTCAGTTGATGAATTCCACAGTTACTCAAATCCAAATAGAGTAGTGTGCGACAATTTAGGAAAGGGCCCTCGACCGTGGCTATTGGGTTGTTCTGAAGTTCCAACGTGATCAAGCCTGGACTGTCCCTATTAGAGGATAAGAGTTAAACGTGTTAAACGTCTGTCTAGTTTCATATACGATGTGTCATATTACCTAAAAGCTTCTGGATCCACGTGCGTTATGGCATTGTAGGAGAAATCCGCGTCCAAGAGATACGTCAGTCCAGCGAAAGATTCGTAATTGAGTTGGGCAAGTCGATTATGTGCCATCTGCAGTCGCCTCAGCTTAATACCATGTGGAAACGATCCAACGTGTTGTATGTTATTGCCATTCATGTCAAGTATGTAGACATTAGGACTGAGTTCGTTATATGGTATGCTTGTCAGGTTGCTTTCCGAGCAATCGGTAACCCAGTTGATACGAAAGTAGTGACAGTGACAGTCCACCGGACATTCTTGTTCGACTAATTCCCCGTTCAAAGAGTAAGTCGATGTTGTTAGACAAGCTAATAGCAGGAGTAGTCCTAACATCCTTCTTGCTGTTTGATATCTAAATTGAAAAACAAGACGATATAGAATAACTTCTCTAACAATATGTATTATCTGATCATCGTATGAATTAACGTGACATATTTAAATGACGTACAAATATGACAGTGTACAAGAAAAAAAAAAAAAAGAATTATTTATGAACAAACGAATGGACTAAAGGAGCGTCTATTATTATAGATTATCATCACGCTGAGGTGAGTAGTTTTGGTCTCGGTGGTAAATTACATTGCAGAACGTTATGGCGTTTCTCTCTTTTATCCCCCCACCCTCCCTCCTCTCTCCCTTCGTTGGAATAAACGAGTGCTACGGACAAAGGAGAAACTCGTCGGTGCCTCTGGCAAGAAGCAGAAAGAAGAAAGAAAGGCGGGGGATGAAAAAAAAAACAAATAAAGCAAGCACAAGAAAGAAAGAAAGAAAGAAAGTAAAGAAGAAAGAGAGAGAAAGGATGAGACTGGWGGAGGGAAGGGGTGGGGAAGGAGGGAGGGAGGGAGGGAGGTAGTAGTTGTACAACGAACGAAGCTATGGGGAATAGTAGGAGCTTTACGAGAGAACGACACGGTAGGCGTTCCACACGGTCGAGTGATTCCTGGAGCTTTTCCACCCAAAGCAACAGAGTTTGCTTTCGGCCTCTGCCCGTTTTACCCCGACGACGACGACGACGACGACATCCTCCCTTGAGGGGGGAGAGAAAAAAATAAAAAGGAGAACGGTGAAAGAGAGAAAAGGACGGTGGTCTCACGAAGGAAAGCGGCGGTGGTACATTTTCCGTTTTCGATCCCTTCCTTCTGTATTTTTCGCTGTCGTCTTGCCTTTGGCGCCGCGAATCGTCTCTCTTTCTCTCTCTCTCTCTCTCTCTCAGTCTTTTTTCTCTTGAAATCTCATTTCATAGGAAGGATTCCCTAGTACTCGTCGTAGTAGTTGTCGTGTCGTTGTCGTTGTCGTTGTCGTTGTGTAGTAGTAGTAGTAGTATTCGTCGCGGTGGTGTTCATCCTTTTCCTCCTCTTGGGGAACGGCCGAGCGCGACAGTCATTTGCATTCAAACTCCACCCGAGACATTCATACTTTTTGCAAATATCGTCTTTCTTTATGCGTCAGAGTTCAGCCTTCGGGAGAGACTTCAGACCTACGGGGCGGACGTTTTCCACTCGAATTTACGTCTCGGCTCCACCTAAGTCACCCCACGTGATCCTCCCACACCTAAACTCCTTTCACCCTTGTACCCCACCCCATCCCAAAACCCCCTATTTTCACTGATTTTATCTTCCCCTTTCTCTTTTCTGCTTGCTATCTTTCTTTCTTTCTTTCTTGATCATGTATACGAGGTAAAACAAAAAAAAGAAAAGAATAAAAAAAAGAGGGGTGTCCCTTTCTACTTTGGATAATTAGCTTTCTTCCGCTTTTGACTCCCGAAACAAACGCGATTGCTCGTTACGTTTTCTTTCCTGAATCCATGGGACACTTTGAACTTGCAAAACAAAAGAAAACAAAATAATATGGCAGGGACAAGGAGTATTCTCTTAATGATCATGCCTCGACTCGAAGGTTGTTGGGTAGGAAAAACAAAATGATCAAAAAAATAAAATAAAATAAAAAAAAAAGGAAAGAAGAAAAATGGTTATTCCAACTCGTTTTCTAAAGCAACCAGTTAATTTCAAGGACCACTTGCCCCTAACCGAATATTCTTTCTCTCATTCTCTTATTTATATTCCATGGCTGTGTGAGACCAAAAATAAAATGGCGTTGGTCTAGCATTTTGTTCTTTATTTTTATGTTTTTCTCTATTTTTCTCCCCCCTCTCTCTCTCTCTCTCTCTCTCTATTTTTATATCCTTTTTTATTTTAAACAATAAAATGAAAAAAGAATGTATATATATATATATATATATATATATATATATATATATATATATATACGATGAGCAAAGAATTTTACAGGTATTTGTCGCTTATCGTGTTTACTCGACCATTTTAATTCTCCTATCACCAAAATTATACGCACACCGGTTCGTTGAACTCTCTAATTAGTGGACAAAAAATTTTACCATGATAGCTCCCATTTGTGTTTGTTTTATATGTACCGGGTGAGCAAAATAGTTCGAAATGAAATGAAAAACCATTATTTTTGTTTTGTTTCAATGAGATAAATAATTTAAATTTATTATTTTAAATAATAATAATAATAATAAAAAAAACCCCGAAATAAATGGTTAAGAATTTTTCGAATTCGGTATTATATCGTACAAGCACTTAAATTTGTCAGTAAGGAAAAAGAAATATATTTCTCCCTCTTATGTAAAACGCGTGAATCTCAAATCATTTTGACACGAAACTTCCATAGAAATACCTCACCCCGTATGGGGTGTTCTCACCACCGTGTTATGCTTGAACGAGAAAACGCGTCAGCGAATCATGGAACTGTTTAAATCTACGCGCGCGTTCCAAACGCGGTTCGTGTCGTCATCCTGTCGTCCCTTCTGCACTTGGAAAGATTTATATTTACATGGGGTATATATTATATATACACATACATACACACATATATATATATATATATATATATATATATATGTATATACGTATGTTAGAGATTTACGAATAGGCGAATTTGAGCTGGACGAGAAAAATGCTGAACGAGAGAAAAAGAGAGAGAGAGAGAGAGAGAGAGAGAACGAACATCGTCACGATGGGAATGAATTCATGAGTACGATTATGCTAACTTAAAGGACGGATGCAAGCATAACTCGTGAATAAAAATTATTACTCAGAAGATTCTCTCTCTAACATTAACTATGTAAGTATATGTTTGTCCTTTATGTATTTGGGTGTGTGTGTGTGTGTTGTGTGTTTGTGTTTCCAGGTATATATGACGATCATGGATAAAAAGATGACTGTACATAACAAGTCATACGTGTTTTCACTGATAAACTCTGAAAGTATGAATAAAAAGATAATAAATTATAATAAGAAACATAATTCTTATTTAGTATATATATATATATATATATATATATATATAATCAACTGTTAATTCAACTAGTTATTTATAATTGTCTTTGTAAAAAATAAATTATCATATTTGCAATTATATCTGACACTGTTAAACATGGTTGTTAATTTTTTTTTTTTTTTTTAGAATTAAATTTTAATATTAATATGAAATTAATCTGTTAGATCGTAAAAGTATCAAATATTTAAAAATTTTTTTTTTTTTTTTTTTTACTATAAATTGTTAACATTTCAAATAATATTAAACAAAAATGTTCTCTCTCGAGTAAGTAATATTACAAATAATTATTCACATTATATTTTGAAAGGATACATAGAATACGATACTTAAAAAGTGTGGCTTTAATAAAATGTGCAAAATTTCACAAAATAGAGAGAACAATTTTTTTTTTTTTTTTTTTTTTTTATTCAATGTCTCAAGTAAGTAATTTAAGAAATAATCGTCTCCGTGACACTTTCTTAACAGTGTGCTGAGAGAATATGAGGAAACTTATGTGTAATGTTAAATAGGTTGACCTGAGGTAATTAGCCTAAAAATAAAATCTAGAGTAATACTTAAGTTGAAATTATGAATTAAAATTCATTGAAAAACAAACAAAAATATAGATTAGATTTTTATTTTTTTACGATTAAAATATTGTATACATTAGAATTCGTCAAATTAGTCAATTCTTTTTAAAAAATCTAATATACGTTCTTGGCAAGGATTATCGTTTCATCGTAATGGAAAGAGAAAAAAAGAGAAAGAGAAAGAGAAAGAGAGATAGAGAGAGAAAGAGAGAGAAAATAGATCAGTATCGTATGCAGCATGTATTTTTAACGACTCAGCCATTTTTGATTACGCTGCACAGCCTACATATGGTCGAAAACAATTTCCCGCGAAGGCCGTTTGTTCAATTAACGAATAAATTACCAAAAGGTACGACGATTATCGATCTACAAATATATATATTTATTTGATATATATATTATATCAAATATAAATGCAAACTAACCTAAATAGTTGCTTCGTTAAATTGAAAAATAATGAAGTATTTTTACAGATATTCAAAATGGCGGTATAGTAAGTATACAATCATTTTTGTAACACTTTAATTAGATATTTGTACCTTCAAATGAATATTAAAATAAATGATATTAATAAATTCATCATTGATATTTGTATTAAATATAAATGCATACAATCCTAAATAGTTGCTTCACCAAACTGAAAAATAATTTAGTTTTACAGATATTTAAAATGGCGGTATAGTAAGTATACAATCATTTTTGTAACACTTTAATTATAGATATTTGTACCTTCAAATGAATATTAAAATAAATGATGTTAATAAATTCATCATTGATAATAATATTAAATATAAATGCAAACAATCCTAAATAGTTGCTTCATTAAATTGAAAAATAATGAAGTATTTTTACAGATATTCAAAATGGCGGTATAGTAAGTATACAATCATTTTTGTAACACTTTAATTATAGATATTTGTACCTTCAAATGAATATTAAAATATTGTAATGTTGTTAATACATTAATCATTGATATTTGTTATTTTCATTCGTATATACTTTTGTAATAATATTGCAAACGGAAATTCGTCTTTCGAAATAAACGACAAAATTATTCTAATTCTATTTAATTATTCGATAATTAATTTGCGTTGTTGTTTCATTCTTCATGAAGACACAACTTTTGGGACATACTGTATAATAATGTGTGTACCTGTATCTTTATATCTAATAGGATGAATTATATAGGAAGGACGTTCCCTATTCTAATCGAGATCAAAATGTTTTATCGATCGATCGATCGATCGAAGTTTCACTCAATTAAGTAAACACATTGAACGTGAACGGTGATTTTCTATCTGGTTAAAAGCATTTGCGAATAGTGTTTCATTATTATTACGCAATACCCAATAATCGACACCTTTTGAATGAATTATCTTCCGAGTGCGAAGTTTCTATTTCATACATACATATATATGTACAC